AGATATACACACACGGTTAAAAGCAGTGGCATGTTTGGCAGACTTTTCTTCTGATCCACTATCAGAATCTCCATCAGACCAAGTGACTGCTAGGCCCTTCTTCCGCTTCTTGATATATGTAGGACATTCAACTCTAATATGTCCATACCCTTCACATTCATGACATTGAACGCCTTTGCTTTGCCTGGAATCTTCTTCAGGCTTATCCCTTCTGCTGCTTTCAGAAGAGCTGTTCTTGGTGTATGGTTTAGACTTATGATCAAATCTTTTGATCAGTTTGTTGAATTGTCTTCCAAGCAAGGCTATTGCTTCTGACAAATTCTCCTCTTTCCACCACCTTCTTCTTCTGAATCATCTGCAGTGTTTGAAACAAGAGCTATACTTTTGTTCTTTTTCTCCACAGCCTGATCACACATGCCCATCTCAAATGTTTGGAGAGAACCTATGAGTTCATCCACCTTCATGTTGCATATGTCTTGGACTTCTTCAATGGCAGTGACCTTCATGGCAAACCTGAGATTTTAGGTCAAGACCTGAGAATTTTCCTCACAAGCTTTTCTTCAGACATCTTTTCTCCCAAAGCTCCCGAGGTGTTTGCAATTTCAAAAATATTCATGTAGTATTCATGAATAGTCTCATCTTCCTTCATTCTCAAGGAAGGAAGACTTTCAAACTTGGTGGTCAGCATTTGAAGTCTTGACATTTTGACTTTAGAGGTTCCCTCATGAGTTGTTTTTAGGGTGTCCCAAACCTCCTTAGCCAGTTCACAATGGTGTACCAGTCTGAAGATGTTTTTGTCTATACCATTGAAGAGTGCATTCAATGCCTTAGAGTTCCCAAGGGCCAGAGCCTCTTGCTCTTTGTTCCATTCCTCTTCAGGAATTAACATAGATACTCCATCCTTGTCAGTCTTCACTGGATGTTCCCAGCCAGAGTTTGCAGCTCTCCATGCCTTGCTGTCTAAAGACTTTAAAAAGGCAATCATCCTAGGTTTCCAATAGTCATAATTAGAGCCATCCAGAATTGGTGGTCTATTAGTGAATCCTATGTCTTTATCCATAGTACCGGAATTTATCTTCCCTAGATCTCACCCAGAATAAACAGGCAGGGTGCCTGCTTTGATGCCAATTGAAATTCTGGCAAGCACACGATGAATGTTATCACGGATATTATAACATCCACTGTAACACAGAGTATTGGAATAATTAAAAAGCTGTAAAGGAAAGCAGTAAATAACACAGTAATTGTTCACCCAGTTCAGTGTCAACAACACTTACATCTGGGGGGCTACCAAGTCAGGGAGGAGATTCACTATTAGCAGAATTAATTCAGAGTCAAACAACACAGTTTGTACTCCTCACTTAAAACCTACCCAATGACACTTTAACCTAGAGACCTCTAGATCTGAGTTTACCCACTCACTCCCCCTCAATCACCTCAGTGATATAAACCAATTACACAGTAGATATGAAGACACACTTCAAACACACCTTGATCTTGCTTCACAGCTTTGATCAAGAAACACACTCTTGCTTAACAACTTTGAGTGAGACAATGAACCAAAGCAATTATACAGCATACAATTGCTTGGCACACAACTAGACACACGTGAAGAGAAACCTCTTCACTCACAAATTACACCCTTTAATATCTCTGCTAGCTGTGTTATCAATTGAGGTTCATCCTCTTGTTATTTATAGCAGATATTCTTTGGGCCTTTGTGCAGAATTTAGGTTTACCCAACCCTTTCTTTAAGAATCTGCACTTACCTGTTAGGTCAGAGACATTTTATTTCGTCAGGGCTTCTAAAATGTTTCCTGACTTCCAGCTTGAGCTTCCACAAAGTTTCCTGAATTCTAGCCCGAGCTTCCTCAACCTAAATACCAGAAAACTAATCCTGCGCGCTTGATGTCATACGATCAGTGTCATGACATTCAGCATGACATCCAACTCAACTTACTGTTAGCTGACTCTACTTACCCTGCATAGTGTGTGTCATAACATCAGTCATGACATCCATACACACTCTAATGTTTTGCCACAAAATGCAGCTAACCAGAAGCACTTACATGTACAAAAACTGGCTTTTGTGTTTACACCTCACACACAATACTTGGAGTAGATATACACTTCCAGAACTAAGATACAACTCCTATTTTTCATCAACATCCAATGAGCTAACTGAAGAGATGAAAATAAGATCGAACTAATATGATAGCATTTGGCCAGTATTTGGGCAAGATCTTTTCTTCAAAATAGTGTGCAAGACCTGTTTTTATACCGTTAGACAACTCCAAATAGATGCTCCTAGTTATTGAAGACAGCTGGGTGTCGTGCTAGTACTCCTTTGTTCTTTTTTGCCTGATTCGTAAGTCAAACTTGGTTTCAGCATTCTGATATTATTTTCTGATTTGGTTTATTGAATTTTCTTAACTCTTCTGTCCTCAATTTTCTGAACTCTAATTCTTCTCAGATTTGAACTTCTATTAGAGTTATATCTTAGGATATGAAAAATCAGCACTATAGAATAATTAAGGCCAGCCTTAATTTAATAGATTAAGGCCAGCCTTAATCTAATAACTTCTCACTATGATTTTCTTCTCAAAGGTTACCAGTCTTCTGATGCTGTGTTTTCTGATAATGAATGGTCAAGACAATTTTTGTATGGTTACCGTTCCGAGTCGTCTTCTGAAGCATAAAAAATCATTCTTGGGATATTCCATCATATTATTATGATTCATCCTTCACTTCAAAACTTCATCTACTGAATCTTTTGATGTATTTGCTTTGATATATATCTTCTGGCTCTTAAGTTTTTTTTTTTTCACAAAATACAAATTTCAAATGAAGTACTTCTGAGTTTTCTTATAATGACTCGCACAACAGTTTTCTGTTCTTGTGAATTTCCTGATGCACCATATAACGTTTTCTGATGAGTTCCACAACAACAACCAAGTCTTATCTCACAAGGTGGGCTGAGCAATGCTTAGGATATTTATGTTATACACTTCTCATACTCACCAATAATTTCAAGTTTCATAATAATTTATATTTTGTTTCATAAGGTTTGTTGTCATTAAAAACTTAACAAATGGTTTTACTTTAATAGAAACAATTTTTTTGTAGGCAAAATGTATTTCTGCTTGTAGTTGCGTACTATGGGTACTTAACTCTCTTTATTTCATATAGTAAATTTGTGGACGAGACGGATTGTGGTGGAGATCCGTCTGAATCCGTTTCCGAAGTTGTTTTAAGTTCAAAGGTCTTTTTGAATGTTGTTTATTCTCTAAACTTTAAACATTTATAGGTCATTTGAAATATTTTTCGGTATTAGGATTGCGAAATGGTAAGCAAGTCAAACATTTGTACTTCATACTCTCTTTTGAGATCATGAAAGATCATGAAGCCACAACCCATCTGACAGACTTAAAAAGATTACAGGGGAATTATGAGTTTCTTTTGTTCATGTTGTTCAAGTAATACCAGTTAGTCTAGTTAGGTGAAAGAAAGCCATAAATTATAGTTGATTACCCATTTTTTATTTCCTTAGTACAAAGCACTCCTTTTGTTTTAATTGCTAGTTAGTAGTGCTGAAATGATAGGATAGAAACTATGAATCCCATAATAAAATGGTCAAACAAAAACAAATAAGCTGAGCCAACGATGGTATGGAGATGATTGAATGTGCTATCAACGGAGCAACACTCCTTACAAGAAAATAGAGTTGACTATGGATGAAAATGCAAGACAACCATACTGCTCTCCCTATGAAGAAAACAACCCTCACTAAGGCCAAGCCTTTCCATTACTATCCTATCCTTTTCCTCCTCTAATGTATCTAACTGATTCTCTCCCTCCCATTCTGTTGTTACTTGGTTAATCCTTGGTTCTTTGCATATCTTTGTGGCCCCACTTTTCTGGCCCATTGTTCTCCTGGTCTGGGCTTATATTCTTTTATGATGAATTTTTAAATTGACAAAATGGTAATTTTTCCTATAATGGGTCTATCATGGGATGTGACTTAAAGATCAAGTTTTCCACACGCCTTGAAATAATTGACCACATAATTTGTGATGTCGTTCTGATAATTTACCTCAGTCTCGTTCTGTGTCTAAACATTATATTGATGTATTTGTATTATTTGTTAGTCCATTATATGACATATTTATTAGATAGTTGCAGTCGGAGGGACAAATTTAAGACATAGCATCGATGGACCAGTGATGTGAGGAACACTGGGAAGCTATTGTTGTTTCATTTTTGATTGTTGCACCTATATTTTCATGAAAAATAAATGGGCATTAGAAAGAGGTTGAAATCACTTTTGCAATCTGTGCTATTACTATATGAAAAGAATTGCATTATTCAAAATTAATATGAATTTAATGTAATTCATGCTACTCTAACTTAATTTCTAGCATTTGACGCATTTTCACATCCATCCATATTTTTTGGGTAGTAATCCAGCAATATTATCTTTACAGTGATGGCATATTTTTTGTATCGTGTCTGTCATATTCAATTTAGATTCAAACTCATTATGATTTCTGACTGAACAAACTGTTTTTCTTATTTCTCAGTTAGTATCAATTGATTTGGACAATTTTGACTGACTTGTATCATATATATATATATATATATATATATATATATATATATATATATATATATTCGATTTCTTAAATATACTTTGATGATGGTATCTTTTCTTTTTTATTGTCTCTATCCTCATCATTGTTTCAGTGCATGAGTCTCTGGCATTGGTTACCCTGCATGTGCATAGAGACTTTAATTTCACTTTCATGTATTAAAGAGAATATGCAGTTGGTTATTAAATTTTTGTAGTTTAGACACAAAGATGGCCGTTTATATGTAAAACATATTAATGAAAGCAAATTTTATTAAAACAACTTGAGGAAATGCGCACACTTTGAAGTGCATGGAATGAAAATATTAATTCTCTATTCATTTCTTACCTTTTATTTTCATTTATGATTCAGGCATTTAAGAATGTATTGGACAAATTTGTGGGGGTGAATCTAGAAAGCTCAAAGCCCCAGGGTTCATATGAGATGCTAAGAGAACTTTATGATTCAGGCATTTAAGAATGTATTGGACAAATTTGGAGGAGTTGGCCCACCAAGGCATCTCTGAAGAGCAAATTGATGCATATTTGAAACCAAAGCTTTTCTTTCTTGGATCTGTACTTTTATTTGTCAGTTTACAGTTCAATGGATGATTATTACACATTTGAACTGTGTTTAGTGTTGTATATGTAGTATCAGTTGTATGTGCCCTAGCCCTTTTGTGATTGATACACTGAATTAACTAATCAAATTGAAATTGTAGTATATTGTATCGATTCTTTGACCCCACCATTTAATATTCCCTAAGTAAAGGAACTCCCAATTTGAACTAGCTACACTAATTCACAAGATGTTTCTCTGTATAATTTAACATCTAACATTTGGCGAGGAACAATTATATGCATGAAATAATGTGTTCTTGAATTGAAACAAGGAGCTGACCAGAGAATTGTTTAAGATTATATGCATGTTTTGTGGTTTGATTACTTGGTGTTAATAAATTTTTACTTATTAAAGAAAGAGTCCACAAATCAGATGGTACCGTGAATACTTCTATCGTTATTAGTTATATTTGATGTCATTTCATTAATATGTGCATCCTGCTGCTTTCTTCTGGGTTGACTTTTGTAGAATTGTCCTGAACTTTTAGATTCTGAAGCTTGAAACAGAATGATGGTGCTTAAGTATAAACCCCCAGGATTCTATGTTTATCACAGTCGAATATGACCTTATAGAGATTAATTTTGAAGTGCGTCGACAGAGAATATCCCCGTCCACGATCCTAAGAATATTACCGTCCTATTTGGAGATTGTGATGATTTGCAAGGGAAGGAAAAAGTGTAGCAATAGCAAAGAAAAGAAAGTTTAGGCAATTATTACCAATATTCCCTGGTGGAAGATGACATATTCAAGTATGTTGACAGGGGGAGAGAGAAAGAGAATAGAAGAGGCTTTTAGTTTGTCTCCTTTTGCAGCAGAGGGATATTTAAAAGAGTAGGCAAATGGGATGTATTGTACCTTAACACTGCTGCAACTTATAAATATACTTTTGAAAAGCTTGGATATGCAATAACACCCAAAACCTGACACTACATCCTTTGGTTAATCCCCATGCCCTTTACCTTCTACCGAGTTTAGTGACAAGAAACTTTTTCCATTCCTTTTGTTTGCTTGGAAGCACAGTTTTTAATGCAAACCCTTAATTTTCAACAATACTTTAGGTTTTTTTGGAAACTTTCGTTTGACTTCTTATTATATTCCATTTTGAGAAGATTTATTCACGCTCGCCCTCACCTAGTCACTTAAAATTCAATGAACAATGACTAAATTATCAGTTAATCATATTGATTGAAAAACAAATCTCTAATATGTGAAGTAAAATCACATATAGCACACGATAGGGGCTTCTTTGGAAAATTATGAACAATTATAAGACTTTGCTCTTTTTTTTATCTTCACCTCATGATTAGCGCATTTTTAATTCAATCTGTTTGTTAATTGCTAAAATCTGTAGTATACACTTATTGCATTTTTATGTAAGCACCATGTTATTAAACACAGCTTAAAATTAAGGGACATCGCCTAACTAAGCAACAACAAGATTGTGACCAAAATTAAGGGACATCACCCAAATAAGTACTACCAAATATACCTTGCGTTAGACTGAAGTGAATTACTAGTATTAGATCAAATAAATTTTAGTTTTGTTTAGGATAAAAAAACTTTGTATTTGGACAAGTACACTTTTAAATAAAGAGAAATATTTTTGAGTAATACATTAAATTTAAATAAAAATGTCAAATAGGTCTAAAAATTTCCAATCAATTTATTTATACTTCTTTTTTTCTACAGCTCTAAATATTTTTTCTTTATTCTTCTATGAATTTTAACACTTTTGTGTTGTTTTGATAATTTGGGAAGACAATGAGTATGATTGTTAAATAAGTACTATAAGAATGTCAATTTTATGTGTTTGCCTTTTACTATTTGAAAATTGGTTAACTTTGGTTATTTTTGTTTGATGTATAGATACAAATAATGGAGGATAAAATAAAAGTAAGAATGATATATGTTTTGATATGCGATGAATGTAATATTATATTATACTAGTATGCAAAATTATGATATGAGTTGCGGTGCATCTATATTAAAAAAGATGATGAAAATAAACTTAAATGTGATTTGTATATGTAAAAAGATGATTAAAAAAAAATAGTCAACCTATATATTTAACCCCAATGGACGCCAATGTTTCAGGAACACCACGTTTCCATCCAAAATTTTAAGACAATAAATATATGATTCATCTCTCTTATAAATTCAATATTTCATTCGTTCAAATTTAACCACTTACCTTTATCCCAACACAACTAAATTTCATCTTTGAATTGGAGATGCATACCCTTGAGAATTAATCATTCTTAAAACTTAACAAACTAGTTATTCATGCAAAGCATTATAAGTAGTTATGTATTCATTCATCCATCTTATACATTGACTTCAACTATATAATGTTGATGTTGATTGCATATGGGGACGCCAACCAAAGGCTAAAGATCCGTGGAGAAGGAAGGACCAGAGCGTGGGGTGTGGCAGCGGCACAAAATTTGATAAAGGATTCACATAAAATAATTCTCACAATTATAATTCAAACAAATTTTCCCTAATCGTTGACATGTATTTTTTTTCCCTTATCCTTTCGTTTTTGTTCTTCTCTTTACTCTTTTACCTTTTAATTATGTGTCACGGACCACTATTACACTCTGCACAAATACACACACTAAATTCTTAAGCTTATTTTACCTTTTCACTCACGCTTATAAAACTGTGGTTTCCGGAGCGTTAACTTTTTATAAAAGTTTCCATTTCTTTCACACTATCGATTTTTCCTCTAATAATCCTTCAAAAGAAAAAGTGATGAGAAAAAGAATTTCTTGGAATTAGGCAATAAATGTGGCAAACTCAAGCATTCCCAAAGTTACTAAACAGTGTAGTTGGACTTCGTTTATGAGCTTTCAGTCTTGGTTCGAAATGGAATGAATCAAAATATGTTTTGCTATTAAAACACTCGTACAAATGTTTCTTTTTTGAGTTGCACTATTTTGCACCTTTTTAACTCATAAATTATGTTAAGGGGGACCAATATTGATACTAATGGTTCGCAATAATAATAAGTGAAAATAAGAGGGGTGTTGGTGAACTTTTTTACGGGGAGCGATAAACATTATAAGAGTTTTTTTTTAATAATATTTTTGTGAGAGACACACTACGTATTTATTTAAAATAATAAAATGATAAATAAATATATTTTTCACTTATAAATTCTTAAATCTCTATATTTTTTATTACTGTGAAATTGTTATTCATATTATTCATATTTACTACATTTTTAAAAGGTAATTATCGGTGTCCATGTACACGTATTCATTTTGCAGATTTTTATTTTATGAATAATCTTTGTAGAATATCCATTAGAGATGGATGGAATTGTCTATTATGAGCAGAAATGGTAATTAATTATAATTTATTTATAAAAAGTGCATAAAATGAGCTTAGAATAAAATTGATCGAAAATTGTTTGGTAAATTTAACTTGGCCCACTTGACCACCGTGGAGCCAAGTTTGTCATGGAGACAAAAACTAGGGATATGATGATGGCCTTTGGAGTTTAGCTGCTAAATCCAAAATGGTGTACTAACTTCTTAAGCAAAAGCTGGACAATCTAAATCATCCATACAGAGACTTGAACTTAATTATCTAAAACAATAATTTCACTAGTCTAGAATATGGTGGTTGATTTGACCAATTATATATATATATAAAACGGACTTTATATTCCCCAAGATGTATGTAGTAGTATATAACACATATAAATTTATTAATCTACCATATGACTAATGTAATTTTAAATTATAATTATGATTTTTCAAAATATATATTCTTAATTGATTAACAATATAAAATTATTTTATATGATTAATATATATTTTATTTTCTTTAGGAAAAATAGATTTGTTAAAAGTTTCTACACAAATATTTCACACGTTTATTACTCATTCTATTTCAAAAGAACTTGTAAAAAATATTTTAAAATGATGAGCTTTGTGGTATTTGTATTGAACTCTAGTTTCGATAGAGATAATTTTATGGTTTGACAGTAGTCAAAGATGTGTATGCCGTAGTCGAAATCTGTTCATGCATGCAAATGTCTTAGTTAGATTATTGTTTAAGTTATCATATTGAATTAGCCCAGTCTGTTGAACCAATTGTTTAATGTGTGAATTTAACCTGCCACCCTCCATTTTATACACGTCATCTTTAAATTTTAAATATTTTCAAAATACCCTTGCTAATATTTACTTAAATTTTTTTACTATTTTTCCACAAAATTTCACTTTTTTCTACCCAAGAATTCAAAATTTCTGGTAGTACGTTTGGAATTTCCGGTACATATTTGTTTCGCAAAATTTGAAAATTCACGTGTATATATTAGAAATTTGAAAAAATCCGGTTCAAAATACTGGGAATTTGGAAATATCCGGTATCGTATACCGGAAATTTGGAAATATCTGGTAATTTACACAAATTTTTTGTTACAATACCGAAAATTATGGGTTGTGAGAGAGGAGGAAATTATAAAAAGAAAAATACATCTAAAAGCAATAAATCTTCAGAGGACATTTATAGTATGAAAGTGAGATATCCTTTTAGACTGAGATCTTCGTCGAGTGGTATTGGTTGGAAGGTGATGGTTAGACGTGGGTTTCACAATAATAAACTATTTGAGGATTTAGATGACCATAACATATTGGGTCGTCTAAAAGATCATGAGAGACATTTTGTGAATGACATGACGAAGTACAACATGGCTCCACGGTACATAGCTTCTGCCTTGAAAGAAAAAGATCCAGAAAACCTCACCAGTGTTACCCTAGTGTATAAAGTTAGAGATACATACAATGCGAGCAAGATAGGTATATTGACAGAAATGCAAATGTTGTTGACTCTTATTCATAGAG